TCTCGACATAACGGAAGTTGTTTTGTCGTGATCGTGACTTTAATTTTCTCATGATCTCGACATAACGAAAGTTGTTTTTATTTTTACAATGATTGTTTGATTTAAAAAAAAAAAAGCGATTAAAACTGTAGAACATTACTTAATTAAATTAGCCTATACACATTTTTAATTATATAAATCACATTTCTCATCAATATACATTTAAGGATTAACAATAAAGATTAAAAATAAGGACAAAGATGCACATTGCAAATATGTTGTTGAAGCGTGTCCTAAACACAACATCTCCGCTTATTAACTAACAATCATGTACTTTAAAGATGCACAAATAAAGATATAGGTGCAAACAGAACAAAGTTCATTTAAGAAAAGCCATTTCACTCAGCGGCCATCTTTGAAACGCCTCTTGGGGCATGCAAGTGCAGCTCCTATTTCTTTGAATGGGGTAACATAAAATTCTTCAAAGCTGTTCGCCAAGCTTAAGATTAAATTTCATATGAAGTCTCATAAGTGTTGTTTCTTTTGCTCAAATAGTGTCAAAAAAGCGTATTTTTCAGGCTAGACAAGCCAGTGCGCATGTGCAGTCCTGAGCTCACGTCTCAGAACTCTGACTGTTTCAGATGCAGATGCAGTGACGCACTGACTTTACCGATTAGCGATTGGCTCTTTTACTCAAAAGGCGGGGCTTCCTTCGATAGAGTGGCCATATTGAGCTTTGCATTTTTCCCCATTCAAAACTTTAAGAGTGACACTATAAGAGTGGCTACTTTTACACTGTTGCCACGGGTTATAATGCAAGTTAGCGGTTCTAAATTCACATTAAACCACAGCTTCATGGATTTTTTGCTTTAATTTATTTTTGGTTTTGTGCTGGTATTGGTATATTTTGCATGCTAGTGATAGGAATCGATCCCTTGACGTGATTGGTTATTGGTTTGTGACGTAGCAAACCAAGGACTGTTTCAAACCGTATTTCTGGGTCAGCCTTTGGGAAACTACAGTTTTAAGGAGAAAATACTCAGCAATGGTGTTGATTAATAGATTGGCACATGGTTTGTCTAAAGGCATATTAAAAACACCATATAGACAAATAAACAACATAAAAAACTTGATTTTCACTACAGGGGGACTTTAATATTTAAAAAATGTATTGTATTATCTGATCAAAATGTAATATCATAATTTCCTAATACATAATTGTATTAAGTTCATGATTGATGCTCACTGAGTATTAGTGTTAATTTTCTAGTTGAAGTGGCTAATCTCTCTGATGTTGTTGCTTTTGATGAGAACTGATTGATGGGAATTGAGTGACTGGCATTGATTCATATCTGCGGCTCTCAGTAAAGCAGTCAACACTGGGGTGTAAGTGGGTGACCTGCTTCAGCTGTGCTTTCCGCTCTGTCCTGGCTTGCAAAAATAACATCCCAAAAGCAGAGCTTGTGTTTTCAAAAGGGCTCACTTCAAAGTTTCCATTTATTGGAGAGTAATTAGTTTCACTTGCAGAACTTTGCGTGTTATTTAAATATTTTTGAAAAAAACACACGTTTCCAGCCCTACGCTAACAATACACATGTAATTGAGAGCTGAGAGATGAAAATATAGAGTTGAAAGCTGCTGATGTAGGAAGTCCATCCTGCTTTCCTTTCAGTCAAATGTAATTGAGTTTAAGCTTATATGACCGTTTTGTTGATGGCTGCCATGCACAACCTCATCTTCTGTCTCCCTCAGAGTTTGTGTGTGGATTGGCAACCCTTGACCCCTGTGAGAAGGTTTGACTTTCTTTTTCTTAATTTTTTCTTTTAACAAGAAACTTGTTTTCTGACACATTCTGGTTTAGTATTTGACCTAATGTGATGTAAATCCTAAATGTCCTTGGTTTCAGCAATATTACCTACACTTTCGATTCTGCAATTTGTACTCCCTGACGTGGCGCCCTTTGACCCCAACCTCTCTACGGTCTGTCTCTGACTTTGTTTTTCACTGTCTAGCTCTCTGGTGCTTCGTTGTAAACGAGCCTCTTTAATCAGTGTTTTTAGATAAATTAAAATAATTGCTGTGACTGAGCATCTGAGGTTCTTGACCTTTCCTGCGGGAGCGTTCAGTCTTAAATACATTACAGCCAACGAACTGAATCCACCAAAGGATGAGAAAGGAAGGCACTGGGCCGTTTTGTTGATGGCTGCCATGCACAACCTCATCTTCTGTCTCCCTCAGAGTTTGTGTGTGGATTGGCAACCCTTGACCCCTGTGAGAAGGTTTGACTTTCTTTTTGAATATGAACTGAAAGGACTATTACATCGCAATTTCATGCCCCAGGGGTTATCTGATATCCTCTTCACTACATTTAGCTCAAAGTGTCTCACAGTCTCCTCACCTACCCCTCCGTGATTCGCTCAGTGCCTCATTTCACTCGTCTCTTCTCTCTCTGTTCTATGCCACCACCCTTTATTTTTCGGCAGTCTACTGAATGACTTGTCTCAATGCTATTAGCACCATCTCTATTATGTGTGCGGACAGATAGCTTGCCATTCCACACCAGTTAAGGAAATTTACTGGCTTTAAATATTTTTGCTGACCACCTTTTTCATTTTTAATATTTATGAAAAATAAAATTGATGTTCAAAAACTATTTGCTATTTTTTGATCTCACTAGACAAAAAAAATAAATAAATAAAAAATTATAATAATAAATAAAAATAATCATATGAATATTATTTCGGAAATATACCACACCAGTTGAGGAAATTTCCCAGCTTTCAATATTGATGCTCAAAAACTATTTGTTATTTTTAACTCACTAGAAAAAAAATATTATTTAAAAAATAATACCACAGCAATTAAGTTAATGAATATTTCTTTTTGACCATGCAACAGTGTTTTTTATTTTTTATATTGCTAATTATAATAAATACAGATGCTCAAAAACTACTTTATTTTTAAGCTTACTAGAAAATTATATTTTTATATTAATATTATTTAGAAAATAATAACACACCAATTGAGAAAATGTACTGGCTTTAAATGTTTCTTAACAGCTTTGAAATGGCATTTTGCATTTTGTTAATTAAAATATGTTTTCATTCCCGTGAAAATTGATTATTTAGCTGTTTCCTCCTTGTGACAAGCAGTAAAGCTATTATATCACTCCTAGCGTCACATGAATGATGAACCAGCTCTCGGTGAAACCGCACCTGTCATAAAAAAAAAACATCAAGACACATTGTGATTTTGTTCCTCATATTTCAGTTTTTTTCACTTGGAGCTCAGGAGCAAAAAAGCTGTCATACAGTAGATAATCTTTCTCGTAGATAATCTTCCTGAAATTTTATTTATACTTTCAGTGGTCATTGTGATGATAAAACTGATTTTGTATATTTTTAGCACAGGTCATCACAGGGGGTCTCATTTACTTGGTTTGATTTCTTTGATTATAGGTTGTCACACGATATGCAGATTTGCACAGCACTGCATGAAACCTGAACAACAAAGGATGAAGTATTTTGTATTGAACTGTGACTCATCTGATTGTAATTATTTCTATTAAACATTTCACAGCATTTAAATATCATTGCGGTCACAGTGGATGTTGTCCTCTCAGTCACTGCAAAAATCTCAATAGCTGCACTAGAAAAATAAGCCGCATTTACCAACCTCACAGTACATAAAGAAAACACTGGCTGTTTTTCATTCAGGTGCTTTAATAAGTAATCTATACTGTGTTGACAGAGCAAAGTACGTAAAGGACTTAAATAGCAGCAAGCAGAGGTTTTTAAGAGTGTGAGCCATTTAGCAGGGCAGGCTAATGAAAGTGAAAGGTACAGGCCACACTTAGTTCATTATCCTGCTTAAGGGCTTGACATGCTCTTAAATAGTAGACCTCAGGTGAACACACGAGACCCAGGCAAGAGCTGCAGCTCTCTTACACCCACTTTCACACCTACAGTCTCCCTGTGTAGGTATTTTGAGCAGGAATTTTCTTAGTATTTACAGCTCTTTGTATTGTACTTTATAACCGCTTCACTGGAAAGTGCTTAGTCATTATTAGCTGTGACCACAATTTCTTTGTTTGCTTATTTCAGTCATATATATCCTCCTCTGCAACTCTGGAGGGCAAGATTTTTCAGACCATGAAAGTTGTACACGGCTCATAAGTTTACAAACCCATTTCGGAATCTGTATATACAGTATATAAGAGTTAAAACTGAGTTTGTCTTTTTTTTAAGTACTACCCAAAGCACGCTGCATAACAGATATTAAAGTATATTTCACAGGACAAAATAATTATTGAAATGTAGACTGTTGAACAAGGCAGTTTCTGTAAATTCAGTTTGTAAATTGTGTAAATTTTGTCTTGTTGAATATATATGAAAATATTTACAGTATGGTGTCAAAAAGCTTAATCAGTGCTAAATATTATTGTATTTTATTTAGCTTCATTAGTGCTAAAAAAGCACTTTTATGACTTATTTCTATAAATAAATATGATTTATTTATTTTATATTGTGTATTTAATAATTTAGCTTTATCAGTGCTAAATAAAAAAACAAAATGAAAACATTAAAGTGAATACTTAATGTAATAAACTTTTTTTTTGGTTTTTATGACCCATTTTATTTTATTATATTTTTCATTTTGTTTTATTTTTTATTTTTTAGTTAGTTTTAGTGGTAAATAATAAAAACTTAATGCTAATTTTAGTGATCCTTTTTTATTTCATATTTTATTTT